AAAAAGTCCTCTTTGGCACTGAAAGCCCTTCACAACCTGGCCCTTGCTATCTTTCCAGTCTCCTTATATTTCACTCCCTCTGCACAAACTATAGGTCCAACTCCAATGGGGTCCTTGCTGTTGTCTATCTCCCTCTCCAATTCCACGCCTTTGCCCTGGCTGTGCCCCAGGTCAGAAACATTCACCCTTATCACCTCTGCCTCCTCATTTCCCTGGATTCTTTCAAGCCTTAGCTCAAAGTCCACCTGCTGCAGGAGGCCTTTCCCAGTTCCCCAGATACTAAGGACTTCTCTTTTCAGATCATCTCCAATCAACTTGGTACTTATTTGTTACGTACCTGGTTATTTAGATGTTCTATATTCCATTAGACTGTGATATAAGCTCACAACGGAGGAGCTGTGGTTTTTTGTTTTGTTTTGTTTTTTTCAGCCAGAGACAAGGTTTATTAGAACATCTGTCATATTGGGTAGACTTAAGGAATCTAAGCATTTGTATCACTAATGCTAGTGGATCAGATCTTAAGAATTTGAACCTTTGGCTAGACTCTTAAAGAATCTGAGCATCTTAATGGAGACGAGATGGACCTTATATACAGAAAGACTGTAGGAGGATCTAGGAAGGATCTTGATGGGAGTGACTGAGAGGTTGAGAATGGGGTCTAGATAGGGTCAAGGGTAGGAAGTGGCCAGGGGCAATTAGGAGGTAACAGAACAGAATTGGGAGATTGGGTTTAGCCACAATGAAAGGCCAATTGATAGGATTATAGCCTCAGGTGAACACCAGAGATTTGGCCAGGTGGAAAAGTCCAGGGCTTTTCCTTTTTGGGGTCCAGATCCCCAAAGACATGATCTTTTCCTTTTAAGGGTTCATATCCCATCCCCATCATTCCCCCCTCAAACAAATGGGACCCAAATTCTTTTGGTGTAAGGGGCGAAGGTCTCGTCTTCTGAAACTGCTTCCTGCTGGCAAGGGGCACAGAGCTATCCTTGCCTCAAGGGGGTCCCAAAGAGGAGGTTGACTGGCACCCAGCACAGGCTGCATCCAGGAGATGATGTGTGGGGACATTGGCTGGTACCCACTGTTTGCTACCAACTGTAGGTGAATGGCCTGTAGTCTGGAAGACACACATCTGACAGAAAAGACTGCAGGGCCCAGATGTGGGGAGAAGTAAAAGTGTAAGAGCCCCATTGAAATCATTTACCTTTGACCTGCAGGATTATCTGATCTTGTTACTTTTTCTAAAGTTTAAGTAACACTTTTGTCCGTAGAAGTTTTCCCATCCCTAGGTTCAATAGTTACATAAATGAATACTGAAGACTAACTGTCACTTCAATTATCACTGAAATTTTCCTCCCTAAACCAAACTCAAAGATGTTTCTGACTTAATTTAGTTATAACACTGTGCTTTGTACATAGTAGGCACTTAACCCTGTTATTAATTTCAGTTATTTGGGGGTATTGAATGACTACATATTCAGGTCAAAACAGCAAGATCTCACACACTTGCATTGATCTTTTACTGACCACTTGCTCTGATTATAGAAATTTGCTCTAAAAAGATAAAGCAGGCACTAGATTTAGGGCCCAAATATGACAGGATAAAACATCCTGAGCTCTGTTTAGATTCAGATAATTCAGTTTTCTGACCATGCAGTATCAAATCCACCTCACAGCCAGACTTGGGAATAGCCAGGTGGGTAACATTCTTTTTCAAAGGAACATAATGGGGAAACTGAGCCAGGAGGATCCCATCTAAGACTGGGGCTAACATTGTCCTCTCAGCTTTTCCTGATGCCTACTTCCTACCAGTATCAGATTCTCTCTGAGTAGCCTATGGCATTTCTCTCAGATGGTGGATTATTGACTACTGAGTATTGATGGATTATTATGATCCACCAGACAACTCAAAATAAAATCCATGAGCTTTTACCTCAAACAGCAAATTTCACTAATCACAGCTTAGGGAAAACTTTTCCAGGATTTACATCTCAAATTTAAATTCGTCTTGGTGTAAAAAGCCAGTCATTAAGAGATTATTTCTATATACCTGCAAATTCTCAGCAAGTCAAAACCCAGACAAGCTTTTTGGCAAGTTTACACATTAAAACAATAACTAACAATAGGTAGATTGTTTTAGCTGTAACCAAATTATGAAAAGTTGCTTGACATAACTGATACAAGAAGTTCACCAGTTTGAAACTTGAAACAAACCCATTAGCAATCAGGTGACTTCAGTTTTGCTAAATGCACTTCCAAATTACTTTACACAGAGAATCAACATCTCATTATTAACAGTTAAAACTAAAACTTTAAAAGAGCGTGCTTACCCCAGTTTGGAGGCTAGCTTCTTCACCTTGAGGAGGATGTGCTGAACCTGGGTAATGCTTCCTAAGCAAAGGTTGCCCCAGGGCCCAAGGCCATTGCCAGTGGGGCCCATGCGGTAGAGGGTGAATTCAGAGTGGAAAGGGGGGAAGGGTGAAACTCTCTTCTCCCATGAGAGGGATTAACAGATACCCTCTTGAATCAAGGGAAGGGAGTAGGAGAAGGGAGTGACCAGGGTTGTAAGGAGGTGTTTCAAAATTCCTTAATAATCACAAAACCTCCAGAATCTGCTAACATGTTTTTAGCTATTCTAACTTTTTCCTGTGACCTCTATGAAAAATTCAGGGGTGTAAAGTGAAGGGAGCAAGTAAGCCTCAGGGAACCAAAAAGCACCTTCAGTTTCCCCAGTTCCCTGACACTGAGAGAATGGACAGAATTGGGCATACACTTCTGGATAGGGCATCCATCCTTGTCCTCTATGCTATGGAAGGTGTACCGAGACCCTGAGAGCGTCAGGCCAAGCGCGAGATGGCCTTGGAACTTGGGGCTAGGCAGCTTCCCCAAACGGGCTACTACAATGCTGAGGCTTAGGGGTTTAGGGGTGCTGGAACCCCAAAATCACAATACATGAGTCCTGTCTGAATGAATTCAACCCAAACCTTCTTTCAGCCAAAGACAAGGTTTATTAGAATATCCATCATATTGGGCAGACTCTTAAGGAATCTAAGTATTTGTATCACTAATGCAAGCGGGTCAGATCTTAAGAATCTGAGCCTTTGGCTAGACTCTTAAATAATCTGAGCTCAGGAAGCATTTTGTAAACTTATGAGAACATGCAGTAAGTTCAAGAATCCCAAATCACTCTGTACTGCCAAAGCCCACCTTTTTAACACTGATATTCTTGGTGATGTTATATGGCTATTGATGAGGTCTAGAAGTTTAGGGGTGCTGGACCCCGAAATCATGACATGTGGGTCTTGCCCAAATGAATTAGACCCAGGACTTCTTTCAGCCAAAGACAAAGTTTATTAAGGATCTGCCATATTGACCAGACTCTTAAGGAATCTGAACACTTGTGAGCTATTGGCTAGGTTCTTAAGGAATCTCAGCACCTTTTTGGAGACAAGATGGACCTTCTATACAGAAAGACTGTGGGAAGGATCTAGGAAGGATCTTGATGGGAGTGACTGGGAGGCAGAGAACAGGGTCTAGATAGGGTCAAGGGTATGAAGTAGCTAGGGGCCCAAGGGAGGTAAGACAATTAAGGGCTAGACTAGGTTAAGGGTAACAGAATTGGGAGATTGGGCATAGGCTATAACAAAAGGCCAGTTGATGGGACTGTATCCTCAGGGGAATGCCAGAGACCTCCTTGATCAAGTGGGAGAACTCAAGGAAAATCCCTTAGACAAATGGAACCCAAATTCTTTTTGGGGTAAGGGGTAAAGGTCTTGGCTTGGGCCTATACCCCATTAGCTATGACTCAGGGAATATCAAAAGCTGAGGATCCTTACAGGCCCCTAGCTCTAAATCTTATAAAACCTGTGAAAGTGAACTATCCTTTAAAATAAGCCCTGTGGTTAATTGTCACACACAGACACACAGACACACACACACTCTAGCTCATCTGTTTTCCAAGCATGGATGGTGTTGGGCTCCAAAAGATATGTATCGGGGCAGCTAGGTGGCTCAGTAGATAGAGTACTGGCCCTGGAGTCAGGAGGACCTGAGTTCACATCCAGCCTCAGACACTTAACAGTTACTAGCTGTGTGACCCTGGGCAAGTCACTTAACCCCAATTGCCTCATGAAAAACAAACAGACAAAAGATATGTATCATTAGCACAGTGCTCATCACATTGTAAGTGCTTAATAAATGCCTGTTAGTTGATTGATGGGATGGTGCCCATGGGGGCTTCTTACAGTGAGGTTTATCCTCACTATCACCCATGATCGAGCTCTGCATCCAAGCTGGATAAGGTAAGCCACTGTGTCATCCACCACACCCTTGGCTTCAAAGTTATTGAGCAAAAACTCCAAGGCCAAGCATTCGTTTACATCTCCATTCAAAATAATCACAGCCTTGAAAGGAGGCCAGAGGTTGTAGGCTTGTTTACGTCCCTAAAGGGACCAGTGAAAAATCTCTGAGCAAAGCAGGTTACTATAAAAAGTAAGAAAAGAAGAGATGGGCCTTCAGTGAGAAACTGGACAAAGCTAGCAGTCTCTTCTCTGTACCTAGCTATCTGACAAAGGAGATGCTCCTAGATGTCAACAGAACGGAAGCTCCCTGAGGGCAAGGCAGCATGGTGTAATAGAGAAAAGGATGGCCTTGGAGTCAAGAAGACTCAGGTTTGAGTCCTGCCTCTGAAGCATGCTAGTTGTGTGCCTTTCGACCAATTACATCATCTCTTAGTGTCTTACCCAACTCTCCAAGAATATCAACTTTAGAGGTGTTCCTAAATTGCATCAATGGAGGAAGTCTCCACACTAGGAATCTCCTATAGTGATGCAATCATAGAATTGAAAAAAAAAATCATTTATTCCAGAAACAATCAACCAATGGGACCACTTTTTATTGAAAACCCTCTTTCTAAATGTGTGTCCAAACAGCAGGCAGTTGGCCCATTCTCCAAGCCTGACCAAGCCAGCCTCTGTCAGTTGGGCCTTCTCCTCCTCACTTACCAAACATACAGGAGGATGACGGTGCACCAGCGCAGGACTGGGTGTGTCACGAGGTTGAGAACCCCAGGTGCTGAGTCCTGGCTTTTCTCTGACCCTCCAAGGGGTTTCAATTTTATCCTCAGTCCCTCTTTTCCATTACCACAAGCTATGTAGTGCATTATGGCCTCAGCTTTTTCCACAGCCCCTTGGGAATGCAGCCACCTTGGTGATTCAGGGAGCAGGCTGCCAAAAAAAAGAAAAGGACAAGACCATGAAAACTCATTGCAGCCAGACACAATATCCTCAGAGCCTCCCTTTTCTCTTTCTTAAATCCATTAGAGGCATAAGCTTATAAGGTCATCATGCCTGCATTTTCAGGCCTGGAGTACAGAGGGAGGGCTCAGCTGGTTTCCAGAGCCAGCAGAATAATCAGCTATTTCCAATTTCAAGGCAGTGCTAAGCAACAGCTATAGCTTGTCTGTCCCACTGTTTCAAAATCAAGTCAATGTTCAAGGACATTTTGGCTTTCTGCTCCATCATGGGAAAATAAACAAGGACCCATGCCATTCAGGGTCACTGCCAGATCTGGAAACCCAGCAACAAGATACAAAGGGGACCCTGCCTTGTAACCTGGGAAGTTTCCATTGCTGAGCTCTGTCCTAAACTATCCCCTCCAGAGCCATCTGTAAACAAGGCTTCTCTATCTCAATCACATAAAAGGGTCTTAGTTGTTAAAGGGTCTGAGCTTCAGATTCTGGGATAAGAGCTGTAAAGTAGGAAGAAACTTCAGTCAACTAGTCATTCAATGAACATTTATGAAGCACCTACTATGTGCCAGGCACTGTGCAAACCCTTTCACTTAACCAAGGAGGAAACTGAAGCAGAAGGTCACACAGGCAGGAAGCAAGAGGCTGCCTTTGAAGCCCAGCTCTCTGATGCTGGATGGAGGGACCTTCCCCCATCCTGTAAGCTCGAGGGCACTGTCTTGTCCTGTCTTATTTTTGTAGTCCTACACTAGCATCTCCATCAATAAAAAGACCTTGGATGTCCTCCAATATGGAAAAGATATCCAAGTAGGAAAGGTATTGTGGCAAATGTATGGATGGCTGGACTTGGAGACTGGAAAACCTGGGTTCAAATCCTCCCTCTGCCACAGGCTATAGAAGTCTAGCAAAGTCACTTAAGCTTTTAGTGCCCAAGGCAACTTTCTACAACCATTAATTGCAAAGAAGATGCTAATAGAAGGAGTTTGCTCACCAGAAGTACTTCACATCAATTTTACTCAAGGTCTAATTGGGGGGGGCGGGGGAATGGAACACAAAGTGGGGGAATCTCCCTCTAACCCATCAGTATACTTAGTATAGTGGAAAGAGGACTGGAGTTCAGATCCATTTCTGTGACTTCCTACCTTGGGTAAGTCACTTAACCTCTGTGCCTCAGTTTCCTCATCTATAAAATGAGAGGGTTGGGCGAGATAACTCAGAAATCACTTCTTAGATCTTTAAGCTCCTTGAGGGCAGGGACTATCTTTTGTCTCTTTATATCCTCAGCACTTAGCACAGTGCCAAGCAAGTAGTAGGCACTTTATATTCATTGACTGACTAATTGTGATCCTGTGACTTTGAAGGAATAGCCATTCACTGAGGGCCTTTTACTGAACGCTTGGATTCAAATCCTGCCTCTAATACATGCATGATCTTGGGCAAATCACTTACCCTTTCTGATCCTTCTGCTCTTCCTCTGTCAGATCAGGGGGTTGGACCAAGGGGTCTCTGAACTCATGATTCTGTAATGCTGAGAAGAGGAACAAGAGAAGGAGATTTACATATGGAACTGGTCCCCTATTTCCATCCTCTCTTTGAGCCCACAGGCTCCTGGGAAAAGGTGAGGAATGAGACCAATGGAGGAAACATTAAAAGTTTCAGAAATTCCCAAGGATCTTTAGAGCAGATATCCCCATTAATTGTCAAAGGCCTCTTCTAGAGTGAATCTAAAAATTATTTATTACAAATTTACAATTGATTTTTATTTGTGTCCCAGCTAGAGCAAGTCTTGGCAATTCTGCCTCGCTATTTGTGCTCCTGGATCTCAAGTGCCCACCTCTGGGGCAGGGGGACACTTTGAGTATTTCAGCAGCCAGGGCAAGGAGGTAGACAGCTGCAGTTGCAAACAGGGAGAATGGTGACTGCCACAGTGTCTTTAACATGTACCTTAGGAGGGTGGCCATGAAGACATATTCCTTCTCAATGAAAAGGAAATTATTTGAAGACCTTCAGCTCTCACTGTGAGGGGATAACAGAACACATACCATCATAAGGAACATCTCTACCCATCCTCTTGCATTTTGCTGTACAAGCCTCTGTCTTGCAACTTCAAGCTGATGGGATTGGGATCTAGACCCCAGAAAGGAAAAACCCTGGACTTTCCCACATGGCCAAATCTCTGTCGTTTGCCTCCCCTCCATTGTCTTGCCTCCCTATGGCCCCAGGCTACTTCCCACCCTTGGTAATTCTATTACCTCATGGACTACTTGGCTGCTCCTAGATCCCTTCCACAGTCTTTCTGTATATAAGGTCCATCTTGTCTCCATTAAGAGGCTTAGATTCTTATAATCTAGCCAATAGCTTACTAATGTTCAGACTCCTTAAGAGTCTGTCCAATATGATGCATGTTCTAATAAACCTTGTCTTTGGCTGAAAGAAGGCTTGGGTCGAATTCTTGCAGGCAGGACCCGTATGTTGTGATATTATTGGGTTCCCAGCACCTCTGAACCTCTAAACTGCATCAAAGACCTTTCTTTATTGTCACTGTGATCACCAATCCCTTCACCCTTCAGTTCCTTCTTAGGCCATTACCCCGGCACTAGCTACACTTCTTTTCCCTTCCCCATCTTGAACCACTGCTGAATCATTTCAACTCTTCATTGTCTTCTTTCAAATCCCTTGTCCTCTTGTCCTATCAAAAATTTTGTCCTGCCCAACCTTAGCTTTGGATAAGTCCTATCATCCCCTGCCTTCATTCCTACTCAAGTGCTGCAGATTGAAGCTGAAAAAAATCCTGAAACTGTGCTGCTCGGGTCCACTACAAATTTATGTTATATCATCTCAACCAGGCCCCTCATTGAAGCAAAGCAATCTTTTTTTATAATCCACTAATTAATTCCCTATCACACTCGTCACAGCACCTTAGCCAAACCCTTCCGATGAGAACTTTGCCACAAAACTGAGGCTGTTTGCCAAGAACTCCCTCTTCATCTCTTTTTCCTTATCACACATCATTTAGGTGCCTTCTAGCTCTGTCTCCTCCTTCACTCTTGTCTCTTGTGAAGAGATGACCCTTCTCCTTGTCAGTGCTAACCCACTGCCCAAGTGATCCCACTCCATCCATCTTCTCTAGCAGACTCCCCTCTATCATCCCTACTCACTAATCTTCAATCTCTTCTTATTGACTGGTTGTTTCCCTTCTTTCCACAAGCATACCCATGTTCCCTAACCTCAAAAAATCCTCACTTGGTCCATCCATTCCTTTTAACTACCATCCTGTATCTCTCCTCCCTTTTGTGACTAAACTCCCCCAGAAGGCTGTGCCTCTATGTCTTTCACTCTCTTTTTAACTCTCTCCATTCTCAACATTCAATTGAAATTGCTCTTCCCAAAGTTGCCAGTGATCTCTTAATTAACAAATCCACTGACCTTTTCTCAGTCTTCATCCTTCTTGACCTTTGACACTGTTGATGACTCTCTTCTCTTTGCTACTCTCTTCTCTTTAGGTTTTCATGACACTGTTCTCCCCAGGTTCTCCTCCCTATCAGACCTTTCCTCAATCTCCTTTGCTAGATCTTCATCCAGGTCTTGCCCACTAACTGTGGGTACACACTGTGCCCAATACTCTGTCCTGGACACTCTTTTCTTCTCTCCCTTTACTATTTCCCTTGGCGATCTTAGATTCCCTTAGATTCCCATTAGACTCCCATAGATTTAATTTAATAGATTGAATTTCATCTTTTTGTCCCTAGTTCCAAGGCACATAGTAGGTACATAATAAATGTTTGCTGAACTAAAATGAACTGTGGCCTTGGATGCTTTGATCTTAAAGGAATCATATCCTGGACACAGCAAGCCTCTCAGGGCAATGTGGCAACTATGTGGAGTTGAGGGAGCCAGCTTTCCCAGAGTGCTCCCCATTCATCATTGCAGCCCTACATTGTCCATATACCTTCCATTTTAAAAATAAACAGAATCAAGAATCAGAGGATGTAGGATTATACTTTGGCTTCTTCCGTGAAAAGCCTTCCAACAACTTACTAGGAAAGGAGAAAGAAGAAAGCCCCGGGAGAATTTGAGACGAAGGCCAAGGTGCGCCAGTCCCTGATGCAGTACCCCAACACAGCATAGAACGTGATGCCAGCCACAAATGTCATGTTGGCCAATGAACCTGAAAACGAAATAAAATGAAAACAGTAGACCCCAAGCTCATCTTAACATACTGGAGGAAAGCTACATGAAGGGGCAATAAGGCCTTTGTGTGAAAACAAAAAACTAGAAACAAAGTGGATGTCCATCTATTGCAGAATGGCTGAACAAATTTTGATGCATGAACATAATGGAATCGAAATGCACCTTGAGAGCAATGTAACATAAAGCACTGAGCCAGATAACCTTTGCTGTCCCTTCAGCTCTAAATCTGTGATCCCCTGAATTCAGAGAAGTGTAGGAAGGCCTGTATGAACTGGTATAGAACAAAGTAAACAGAACCAGGAGAACATACACAGTTAACTACCATCCATGAAAGTAACAGCAGCTAAACTCTGCAAAATTGGACAGATGAGTCTCAGCCTATGGGGACAGACGCCCTTCCTTCCTTCTTCTCCTACATAGTGGCTGTGTGAGCCCGGACAGCCATCCAATTTCTCAGCATCATGGGGAGGACTATAAGACCAAGACTATACACTATAGAACAGTTACTGATTTGTGTCTACAAAGAGAGATTCTTCACCAGGAGTTTGCTAGACTACTGAAATCAAAGGTCTGATTAAAAAGCATCAAGAATTGGCTTCATACTAATGAAATCATAATGAGTTTTTTCTGGCCAGAAGCCAGAGACAGCAGATGCAGAATGTTAGAAAGAGGGAGAGAGAGAAAGAAGGGGGGGGGAGAGGGAGGGAGAGAGAGGAGGGGGAGAAACTGAGAAACAGAGACAGAGAGAAAGAGAGAGAGAGAGCTTATTAAGCATTTATTATGGACCAAGTACTACCAGACACAGTAGCTATGTTGGTTACATCTGCTTAACTACATTTTTGTGTGTTATAAGGAAGGTTCAGTGGTGAGGAGGAGGGTAAAACAGGAAGAGAATACGATATTTACAAAAGGTACCAATAAAACAAATAGAAAAGACAAGGACTAAAATACAATTGGAAATAAGTAGCTCTTTTAAACGAGGCATACTTATTTGGGGAGGAATAGATTCATAGGATCATAGCTGGAAGGGTCCTTAGGGATGATCTAACACAACTCCTTCATTTTGCAGATGGAGAAACTGAGGATAAGGAAAGTTAAGCGGCTGCTTGCTCAAGCTCACAATGGGTTCCTGCCATGGTCACACAGACTATGGCCTTGGAAGAAAGCGCTCAGAGCCTAGCACAGGACTAGCACACAGCAGGGGCTTAATCAGTGTTCACTGAACTGAATTGCTTCAAGGCAGCACCTAAGAAGTCCACGTCCTCCCTAAGATAGGGATTGTTACAACTGCCTGCTCTGACCTCATGGGGATCGTGGGAGAATGCATGTCTGCACCCTTGCTCTGAGGTCATTCATCAGCCTTCAATATGATTTATTCTTTGTATACAAAACCCAGAAATCAGCCATGCCCTACAGCTTTTCTTAGGGGAAGCCATGAGGATTTGATTTTGTGCTTTTATTGTTCTAGATTTTATGAGCTTCATGGGATATTAATTTGCTGCTCTGTGGGAGGTTCAAGCAGAGAGAAGGGCAAAGGACTCAGAGGACTCAGAGCTGGGAGAGTCACATGATCAGAAGAGGCAGAAGAAGAGAAAAGAAAGGACACCTCAATTACCTTGCAAGGTTATTAGCCCAGCCAGAAGCCTTAACTCAACGGAAGGATGCTTTAAATTAACTGCTGAAGACAAGCAATCCACTGAAAAAAATAAAAAAAAAACTCCCTTCCCAAGCCAGAGCAAACCAGGGCTGTGTATGGAGGGATTAAGCAAAAGAAATCAGTCATGTACAGCATTAAAAAAAAATGAAGCCTCTGCTATCCCAAAGAGCAAAATGGTCCTCATGACTGGAAAGGAAGAGGATGTATTATTAGCTCAGCAGGCAAGAGCTCATTGTCAGGGAAGGAAATATGGGCCTCTCTAAGGGACAGGATGGTTCTGAGCAAGGGGTTTTTTTTACCTCCATATTAGTATCTATATAGTGCTTCAGAGTTTCCAAATATCTTATCTCATCGGATCCTTATAATGACCCTGTGAGGTAGGTTCCCAGATGACAGCTCAGAGTGGGTGAGTGAAGTAGGTGGGATTTCAACTAGGTCTTCCTGACTCCAAGTCCTACTGGCTGTTGATGGCACCGCCCATAAAAAGATGCTAGGCTTGGAGTCAAATTCTGGGGTTCAAATCCTGCCTCAGATACTTACTAGCCTTGAGGCCCTGGCCAAGTCATCTGACCCCTCTGAGTTTCCTCTCTCAGTTTATGTGATTGGGATAATGATGCCAGCTATTTCATAGGCTTGTTGTAAGGGTCACACGAGATAATACAGGCAGAGTCCTTGGCAAG